GTCAGCTATCGCAACTAAAATCGTTGAAAAATATAAACTCACTCCAAATATGGATATATCTGAACTTAGTCAATATATCTCTGAGTTTTTTAAAAACCTTACAGATGATAGAAAAAGGAATCAGGCTTGAAGACATCTTTGGGATGGCTTTAAATTTAGTGATGAACAGGTAAGTATATTGATACCTAATCAGAGAAGCAGGAAAGGCAAGATTATAAATGTTATCGAGGGCAGTTGCAAAATAGCTATAGCTTCACCCCCCAAAGATTTGGAAGAAGAAATTGTTAGAGAGATAGCAAAACGAATCTTGCAAAATAGATATGGGTTTAGTGAGGATCAAGTGAATGACTTATTCTCTATCCAGAAAAATGACCAATGTGAAAATACCTATTGTGAAAGTGCCTCTGGTAAAACCTTAAATATTGCGATTTCCAACAAACCCCCAAAAAGAATAGAGGTGACTATTGGAGAGATGGTGCAATGGATTTTACAGAATAAACTTACTATTAGAGATGTAAGAGCTGAAGCTTATACCTTAGCCCTATCAGCAAAAAATGCTAATGCTGGTTCATCATGTATTTTCCGGCTTCGAAGAGAATTAAGAAATATTAGTGCTTCACCCCAGATTATCAAGGCCACGAAATTTCCAGATATTACAGAAGAAGCTAACAAAATCCAGATGAACAATCGGAAAAAGGCTGAAACTAAACGTATTGATTATCCAGATAAATTTACATTAGAATCGGTTAAGGAAAGATTAGATGCGTATGATATTAAAACTTTACCCGATTATCAGGCTCTTGCAGATGTCATGGTAATGCTTTGTATCCGTCCTGCTGAACTTAGAACTTTACGTATTACAGTTGCCGGAGTAACAGGATATGCGAAGAATCGGGGTCAACCAGATATATCTAGAAAATTTAGATCTATAGAAAAGAACCAAGAACGTGCCAGAGAATTACTCACTTGGATACAGCGCGCAATATCTTCTGGCCGAATAGGTAATCCAGGTAAGCCAGGAGTTAAATGGTTTAATAAATTTTTAAAAGACTATGATTTAATTCCTAAATATTTACATAAATTAGAAGCAGTTTATGCTGTAGTGACAAATGGAGCGAAAAATATGGCCACACTTATACAATTGCTGGGGAAGCACTTCGGCATTCTTGTGACAACTATACTTCTCCAGTACAAAACTACATCATGGTAAACTACAGGAAGCGGAGACAAAAGCCTGAAGAAGCGAGACTATTCCATCTCTATAATGATGATAACTAATCACACTTCTTTGCTTTCACCACTTTCACAGTAAAATCTTCATCATCATTAGATGATTCAGAACTAGACCCAGATTCAGATGTGGA